CTAGACTAAAAACAAATTATATATATATATATATATATACGTTGGATCATTTTTAGTTATAACGCAAATTTATATTATAAAGCAATGAGTAGAAAAAGTAAAAAATAATGATAAAGAAAGTAAATGCCAAAATATAACGTTCTATCTCACGAACTAAAGATTATGTGTTAGTTCGAGAAATAAACCAACTAGTAATAATGATATTGGAATATACTAATATATTTCACGCAAATTTTATATTAACTCAACAACACAATTAAGATCTACATATAAATTATTACTGACGACGTACCTGTTTAACAGATGGGGAAGATATAGCGGCCCTAAGGGGTGACATTAGAGGGTTCAAATCCGAACGGCAACGCTCTATGTGATTCCCAGAGGATCCCAAGGGTAAGGATGACAATCGGTTCAGGTATTCGCCAGAAAGATGCCACTATGCCCTGTGTCGTTACCAAACTCAGCATGTTTTCATATGAGATTTTTCAGTACAAATTGAACTGGACTTAACTTAAATAGAAAACTGGTAATAATTACAATTCACTTGCTTAATCTTGTTCACGCTGTAACAGTTTCTGTTCATGAAAGTTATGGTATAATTAGAACCTCGACCACTACTATGCTTGTCGTATCTCAACTGAGCTAATGACCTCTGGTATTGGGCGAAAGGCCTCGTCGGCACTGGATATGGCAAATATAGTGTGATTGACATATTACTGCGTATTCTTCTTTGCTTTCATTCATAAGTTCTTAGAATTAGCGTGCCCGGACTGTGGATCTGAGGGTTCATGGTTTGGGGCCCGTTGCAGTAAAATCACGCTCCGCACTTTGGGGCTATTGGTGTGCTATAAGAGTGAGGCCAACTCTCACTATTCCATGGCTACGAAGCTTCCTTGACATAGTTATAACAAGACCAATAACACAGGTCTGCGATGGTTTTATTGTCTTGAAAGTTTTACATGTTCTACAGTAATTCCTGTACGCTGAATCCGAAAATGATAATCATTTTTCTCCATCATGTACAGATTTTTCACAAAACGTCATAACGCTATAGATAAAAGAAAGATCACAACACATAGTTTTGAGACTAAAAGACGTAGATTTCACACAAAAAATCAAGATGAATAAGGATGCATATTCGTTTGACATCGATGTTCTTCCCTTCTCATCAGTTTGTTTGTATTTTTGTTAACAAACGTAATAAAAAATGTTCAATGTGGTATACGAAATAATAATTTAATCTAATTAAGAGTTTTTCTTCTTCTCGATTTGTAAAAAATCCTTACGTGATAGAAAAAAAAAGTAATATTATTTTCGAAATCTGTGTAGCTGAATTATGGAAAATCCGTTATTAAAACCAAAAATAACTTTTATGAAGTTTGAATTCGCAGGCTCGTTTAATCAATCGAATTACCGTAAATTTTTAGCAGTTTATCGATACAAAAAGGGGGAAAATCATAGAACTGTAACCTAAGGTATTACTTAACGGTATTGAAACAAGTACTGTAACATTAGCCTTGAGCTGTTGTAGCTAAGATAAATTCACCTTGCTTTAAAAAACTGTTATAATTCATTCGTAAAAAGTGAGTTTTTAATTAAATATAATACGTAGAAATTACATGAACATAACAAACAATCAACATGTATGTTATAATTTAATAATAAAGATATAATACTTAATGAAAA